AGAAAGATTGTTCATTCTAACTGAAAAAAGTTATCAGAAAGTAACACATGGTGATGAGAATGCAGAGACAAAGGAACATTTAAACACTGTTAGTGGGAATGTAGACTTGTACAGCCATTATGGAGAACAGTATGGAGGTTCCTGAACAAACTAAAAATAGAACTACCATCTGATTCAGCAATCCCACTACTGGGTGTATATTCAAAGGAAAGTCCATATACCGAGACTTCTGCACCCACATGCTCACTCAGTCCAGCACTGTTCACAATAGCCAAGATTTGGAATCAACCTATGTGTCTATCAGCACATGAACAGATAAAGAAAATGTGTCATATATACCCAATGGAATACTATTTGGCCATTAAAAAAAAAATAAAAAATTCTGTCATTCTTAGCAACATAAATGAGCTTAGAAGACATTATGTTAAGTAAGCCAGGCACAGGAAGATAAATACTCAAAGTACTGTACTCACTTTGTGGAAGCTGAAAAAGATCTCCTAGAAATAGAAAGTGGTAGCCAGGTGCAGTGGCTCACGCCTGTAATCTCAGCACTTTGAAAGGCTGTGGTGGGCAGATTACCTGAGGTCAGGAGTATAAGACCAGCCTGACCAACATGGTGAAACTCCATCTCTACCAAAAATACAGAATTAGCTGGGTCTGGTGGCGCGTACCTGTAATCCCAGCTACTTGAGGGGTTGAGGCAGGGCAATTGTTTGAACCCGGGAGGCTGAGATTCCAGTGAGCCAAGATCGCGTCATTGCACTCCAGGCCGTTCAACAAGAGCAAGACTCCGTCTCAAAAAAAAAAAAAGAGGTGGACAGTGGCTCATGCCTGTAATGTCAGTGCTTTAGGAGTCTGAAGTGGGAGGGCTGCGTGAGGCCTGGAGTTTGAAACCAGTCTGAGCAACATCTCTCTCATAAATAAAAAAAAATAGCCAGGCATGGTGACACATGCCTGTATCCCTAGCTACTCAGGAGGGTGAGGATAAGGAAGATCCCTTAGCCCAGGAGTTCCAGGCTGTGGTAAACTATGATTGTGCCACTGCACTCCAGCCGGGGCAACAGGGAAATACTCTGTTTCTTTAAAAAAGAGTGATTACTAGATGGAAAGAATAGGTTCTAGGGTTACCTTGCACTGTAGCGTGACTAGTTAACTGTAATTTTTGATATATTTTTATATAGCTAATTCAATACAAATGAAAAGTGTTTGAGGGGATATATATGCTATTATGCTGTTTTTTTAATCCGTATATATTGTATTGGAATTTGGAGTGTACCTCATAACAATATGTCCATTTAAAAATGTTAACAAGGATAGAAGAATATTTACAGTATCAGCTATTTGGTTAAATGTTATTCAGCAGTTCTGGCCTGCTGTCTTTTTTTTTTTTTTTTTTGTATAACCTATGGACTAAGAATGATTTTTAATGATTTTTAAATAGTTCAGCAAAAATCAATGGAATGATATTTTCTAGCATAAAATTAGGTGAAAGTTCAGTATCAGTATTCATAAATAAACCTTTATGAGAGCATAGCCATGCTCAATTGTCTTGAGGCTGCTTTCAGCCTACAACAAAAGAATTGAGTAGTTAGGATTGAGAATGTATGGTCTCCAAAGCCTAAAATATTTACTACACAGTCCTTTTTAGAAAAGTGCCTTCTTCTGTGTTAGGTGATCCTTAGTGATCATTTCAGGCCAGTTTCTGTAATGTGCACTACACAGTTGAGCCACCACTTACAAGGCTTTTCATGTGAGCAGGGATAGTGGAGATGATGAATGTAGGTAAGGAGAGGAAATGAGCATGGGGGCGTTCAGGGCCAAGAGATAGTGGTGGTAATTTTTTGTTGTGTCTCGGAGTCAGGTACTAATAGATTTCCTCTGAGTAGAATATAAATGCTCTCAAGTTAAACTGTATGTTGTATACATTCAGCCCTTGGTAACAAAGGAAACGATAGAACTGAAATGTTCTTGTACCTCACTAGAAGCAGAGAAGGGGTGCTAGATAATTGTGTTTCTGATAATGCTGCATAGATAGTGCCACTTAAATGTTGAGCAGAATTACAGTTTTCTCTAATAACTCCACCGTTACCATGTGTTCTAGATTGTGATACCTGTCCAATACATTTTCTAGAACTTTTTGATCTTCCCGTCATGTCTGCCTTCTGGTGCCCCAAAATTATGTGAGATGCCAGAAGTTGTTTGACTTGTGATTATGCTTGCTTGCTTGTTCCTTATGTACAAGTACATAGCATGAGTGGGCCGTAATCCTTTTTTTTTTTTTTTTTTTTTTTTTTTTGAGACGGAGTTTCGCTCTTGTTACCCAGGCTGGAGTGCAATGGCACGATCTCGGCTCACCGCAACCTCCGCCTCCTGGGTTCAGGCAATTCTCCTGCCTCAGCCTCCTGAGTAGCTGGGATTATAGGCACGCGCCACCATGCCCAGCTGATTTTTTGTATTTTTAGTAGAGACGGGGTTTCACCATGTTGACCAGGTTGGTCTCGATCTCTCGACCTTGTGATCCACCCACCTCGGCCTCCCAAAGTGCTGGGATTACAGGCTTGAGCCACCGCGCCCGGCCCGTAATCCTTTTGAGCTAAAGTAAGTTTTGAGATGGTACATAAAACCACACAGAAATTTGGTTAGTCTAAGTAGAGGACAAGCACATGTTTAACTACTTTTGGTAGGGAAGAAAGTGAAGTGGGAGAGCTTACCATTGCTACCTGTGTGTAGGCTAACACTCTCAAACTTCACAGTGTCTAGGAATCTCCATGTATTGGCACTGGTTATTTATTTATTTTGAGCCAGAGTCTTGTTGTTCTGTCTTCCAGGCTGGAATGCAGTGGTGCGATCTCAGCTCACTGCAGCCTCTGCCTCCACGTTTCAAGTGATTCTTCTGCCTCAGCCTCCCAAGTAGCTGGAACTACAGGCGTGTGCCACCACACTCAGCTAATTTTTCGTATTTTTAGTATAAACGGGGTTTCATGATGTTGGCCAAGCTGGTCTTGAACTCCTGACCTCAGGTGATCCACCCTCCCCGAGCCTCCCAAACCGCTGGGATTACAGGCGCGAACCACCGTGCCTGGCATGGTGTTTATGATTCTAAATACCGTTTCAAAAATCTGTTAGCTGTTTTTTATTCTCTGGTCCACTAAAGAATAATCTTTACTGTGAGGTTTATTTTATATTTTTATTTGTCCTAATAGTAAGTGACAGCTTCTCATTTTTCTATTCTTTGACTTTGGAGAGCAAGTCTGCTTATCTGTAGAAATAATCAGTTTATAAACGTATGCTCTCCTCGAAGAGTTTTGAATTTTCATGTGGCGACTTACTTTTCTGTTTACTTTCTTGACAGAGTAGACCCTCTCAGGTCATCTACACTTCTGATACCTTTTGAAAGTGAAATACAGCATTAAAAAAAACTTCAGCTATACGATTAAGCTGTCACTTAATATTAGTGTATTTTATATTTCAATAGCAAGATACCTGATTTTGTACAAGTGTAATTAGTGTAATTCAATCTGCCCAAACTTTGGTGTGTGCTTTTCATTTAATTGATAATCAAAATAAAAAGATTATGAAATACTAGAGACTATTCATCCAATCACAGCCATGAAGTCTTATGGCTAACAAAAATGACTTCAGTCTCTAACAAGTCCTGCGTATAGCTGCCTTATATTTTTATGAAGAATTTTGTTGGTTTCTGAGATTCTCAATTCTCTTTTATATCTGATGAAATAGGATTTAAATACTTTTTCAAAATGTATAATACATTTATCTTATGCTTTAAAAAGTAGGGACATGGTTAGTGAGTGTCCACACACTTCATTTCTGAGGTCAGAGCTTTTTATGATGGCTGGAAATATCCTTATAAATAAGATAATATTATTTTTCCCTAATTCTGTAGTTTTCATTCGTAAATGCGGGTTGTTTTTTGTTACTGTTTTGTTTTTTATTTTTGTTTTTTAGTTTTTTTGGTCTTACTGTTTTTCCATTAACAGTAACTCCAAGAAAAGCATCAGGGTTCTGGATTGGTTGGTTGAGTGACACAGCATAAGGCCTTTATTTCATCATGCTTTTGCTGTGGATGTAGTGTAGCTTGCTGAACAGGTATGGGTGCTGTCTTTGCTGTTAAGTACTTCTCCAGTTTGTTTATCAACCTGCAGCTAACAGGATGTCTGCTTTTTTACAGGTTTATTTCACAGAGCAGTGTACATTCTTGTCTTCCAGGGGAACTTCACCATGGAGTTACTTTTGATCCCTCAGTTTTAATTCAGTGTCTTAAAGGTTTACAAGTTCAACTTACTCTCTTTTATTCAGCCCTTTCACTTACTCTGCCATCACTTCTGACTTTAATCGGAGTTTTAGTTACTGTGGGAGTCCCGGACCTTTCCTTTTAGTAGTATTAGCCAGGTAAAACCTTGGTTCTTGTGAGTGGTGGGATGTGTTTTTAGGACAGCATTCAGAGTCTAATGGTAGGTTACTTTAATGTCAGGACATCCTTCTCAACTTCCACTTACAGTGTCACATGTAAGCATAAAGTCTGGCTTGTTGGTAAGCCATTACTTTTGTTTTTAGGAAGACAGTTGTTACGAATGCCATGGACAATTTCAGTACATGTTTGTTTGTTCTGATTTTATTCACGCTAAAGGAATGGGTTATTACAATTAAGTGCAGATAATATAGAATTCAGTTTTAAGTCTGAAGTTAGCATAAATTTAGATTCTTCAGACTAACAAAACATGATTTAAATAGGAAGATGTCTTTTTTTAAAGTTTAGCATATTTATTTTTAAAATTATCTCCCAAATCTTGCTTAGAAATCAAATGTGTGTAAGAGAAGTTAGTTACAGAGCTAGATTGATTAACTACTTCTTTAATGAAGATTTGCTATGAATTTGTTTACTCTTTCATACCACCTTCAGATAGCTAGTCAGTTCAGCAGGAGCAGAGACCGGGTTAGCACGTGGATGGGGTGTAATTCAGTGTTTTTGTGTTGTACAGCCTGAGAAATGCCAGTGGCCTGACAGCAGCAGACATTGCACAAACCCAGGGTTTCCAAGAGTGTGCCCAGTTTCTCTTGAACCTCCAGAATTGTCATCTGAACCATTTCTATAACAATGGCATCTTAAATGGGGGTCATCAGAATGTATTTCCTAATCATATTAGTGTGGGAACAAATCGAAAGAGATGCTTGGAAGACTCAGAAGCCTTTGGAGTAAAGAAAGCTAGAACTGAAGGTGAGACCACTTTGTGGGTGGGAAGAGCACACTTATTTTTCTCTCCTTTAATACGTTTTCTTTTTATGGCTGAATGCACCTTCGAGATGGGACTTGACTTCAGGTGGTAATTGTGCCTGGTGGATTGTGCGGTGACTGGAGATTTCTCCTGTACTGCCACTGCGAAGATGGGACACTTAACAAAAGGGATGTGAGGGAAATACAGCCCAAATATAAATGTCTGTGTGGAACTTACTGAGCACCTGTGTTCACCTGCCATGAATTAGATTTTTTAATTTGTTGTATCTGTTTGAAATATATCTATTAAAGAAAATCTGCCACTGTGCCTGATTTTTTTTTTTTTTTTTTTTTCTCTAATTTGCTTCTAAATGTTCCCGGGCTTACAAAAATTGCTGATGGTCTGGCAGTAAAACATTTTCACATTCGGGAAGGTAGATGTTTTCTGTACTATTTCTGTACTATGATTTGACCTCAGCTGGTCTCTGTACCTCACATGGTAATATGTGTTCATTTATCACTGCAAGATCTGGTGTATAATTCGATGTTGAGGATTTAAGTCCCTAAGGTAAGTTATTTTTGTTAAATATGATGAAATTCTTCCACTATTTTTTTTTTTTTTTAAGAAAAAAAAACCAAACAGGGTCTCGCTCTTCACCCAGGCTGGAGTGCAGTGGTGGTGTTTCGGCTCACTGCAACGTCTGCCTCCCAGGTTAAAGCAGTTCTCCTGCCTCAGCCTCCCAGGTAGCTGGGATTACAGGTGCATGCTGTCACACCCAGCTAATTCTGTATTTTTAGTAGAGAAGGGGCTTCACCATGCTGACCAGGCTGGTCTCAAACTCCTGACTTAGTGAACCACCTGCCTCAGCCTCCCAAAGTGCTGGGATTACAGGCATGAGCCACTGCACTTGGCCCTTTTTTTTTTTTTTAAGGTAATTTTGGAGTTTGCAAATAAGCAGAGTCAGTAAATCACTCTTGAAGTTGAAAACACCTCCCTTTCCTATAGGAAAATCATCTGTAGCTATCTAGACGATGTCTTAGTCCAGGCGTCATGGCTCACACCTGTAATCCCAGCACTTTGGGAGGCCGAGGCAGGAGGATTACTTGAGCTCAGGAGTTCAAGACCAGCCTGGGTGACATAGTGTGTCCTCATCTCTAGTTTAAAAAAAAAAAAAAAGTCTTAGTAGGAGACAGTGTGATAGCGTGGCAGGAATATTTAGTGAACCTAAAGGGAAAGAGGTGGGAGTATAATGAACCAGATTATGAGCTCAGATTTGCTAAGGATAAGCACAGAGTTTTGCCTTGTTTTTTAAATCAAGTGTACTAGTTACAGCATGAGGAAAACTGGCTATCAGTAAATCACTTAAAAATCTAGAGGTTTTAGCTAACTTTAAATTTCATGAAACATCATGCTTTCTACCTTAAGTGTGTTCAAGTGAAGCATTTTTTCCCTATAAAGTTGATAAAATGTTAGTGTTAACGTACTTAACAGCTATTTAAATCTTGTCACCATAAAAATTCCTGTGATAAAAGACTCTTTGTAGTAATATATGGACTTAACAGTTTTATCAAATTCAGGGTTTTTATGAGTTAAGCATTTCTGGAAAGGTGCTAAAATCATAAGCATGACATGAAGATCTGCATCCGTTTCAAAATGGCCTTTTTAGTGGTGATGTGTTCAGCATTGTCATATATTTGTACCATGTATTAATGTATTTTTTTTTCTAATATATTTTCAAAGCCCTTTTAAGAGCATCCACTTTTTAAAAATCCTTTACCATTTCCTTGAATGCCTGGTTAATGTTGTAGCGTGGCCTTGTGCCCTCATGCACCAATTGTCCATGTCTGCCCCTGTGTGTCACTGTATAGTCTAAATGTCCTTGAAAAATGATTTATGCTTCATTTTCCCTTAGTGCTGATAAATCTTGTATTCTGTTTAGTATTTTTATTTTCCTTTTTTTTTTTTTTTTTTGAGATGGAGTTTTACTCCTGTTGCCCAGGCTAGAGTGCAATGGCACCATCTCAACTCAGTGCAACCTCCGCTTCCTGAGTTTAAGTGAGTTTCCTGCCTCAGCCTCCTGAGTAGCTGGGAATCATAAGCATGCAACACCACATCTCGCTAAGTTTTGTATTTTTAGTGGAGATGGGGTTTCTTCCTGTTGGTCAGGCTGTTCTCAAACTCCCGACCTCAGGTGATCTGCCCCGCTTAGCCTCCCAGAGTTCTAGGATTACAGTTGTGAGCCACCGCACCCCACCTCTGTTTAGTATTTTTAAAAAGAGATCACTTAACATGCTAATTGGACTCAAAATGTTCCTAGCAGAGTTTGTAAAACTAGTTCCAGAGTTTCTAAGGTCAGTTGAGTTGGCCAATACTATGTTGCTTAATTACTCTGAAAAGCATTTCTGAGGATTCCTTGCTTCCTAAACTTCATTACATAAATTTGGTTTAAAGAGTCATGCTGATTTTCAGGAATTTTATTTTTTTCCTTTAGAATGAGAATTTGTTTTGGTTGACCAGTGATTAGAAGTTCATTTTGCATGTTAAACTTAGCATGCAGCATTCCCAAATTGTACATTGCTGTTCCTAATCCTGAGGGTGCTAATTTAGACAAAAATATGGTCGGAGGCAGGCACTTCTGCTTAAGTGTTGCAGGTAATATGCAGACCTAAATATTGAGAACTTGGACAGGTTGAGCTACTGTTCCAGGTACAAAGTAAGTGACTGATGTTTCTGTGATGATCACAGTAGAAATATTTAAGCCAAGATGCACATTACCTGAAAGCTGCTCTGCCCTGGTTTTCCCAGTTTGTATACTGTGACTGTTAACATCCTGGAACTTCTAGTGGTTCAATCTTTTATGTAGTTGACAGTCCTTAGATTTGCCCCACATGTCACAAGGGTGTGTATTTTATATGTGTGTGTGTTTGTGTGAGCATAGATAGGCATCTTCAGCTCACCTGTACTCCCACCACACTCTTCTTTATGGGAAGAGTTCACCTATACTCCCACCACACTCTTAAGGGAAAGGCGCTTCCCTCCCCCGCCCCACCTTTTACCATTACATACTGAATGTGGTATGTTGGGTATTGGGAGTAATTGTTGATCATTAAAACAGGGTTTTGGTTTTTTTCCTCTCTCAATTACCTGAATATTCTATGTGAAATTTCTACTAGTTTCAGTAGATAAATGATTATTTTCATTATTTGACCAGTTTTTTTAGTTTTAAAGATAACATTGCTCTAATTTGTTTTGATTGTAATTTCTGGCATCTTGATTTTTCTGTTTAAATGTGAGTTTTAAGTTTTGCTTAATCTGAATTTTATTAGGTTTTTGGTTCCCATGCCAGAGTAAAAATATGATAAATTCTTCTTATTTAACACATGGATAAAAAATACTTTGAGTAACTTTACATATGAAAGTATGATAAATTATTTCCTCATTTAACAGATGCATATAAAATACTTTGAGTAACATCACATATAAAAATATAAAAAGTTTAAGCTGGGCTCTTAAAAAAAACAGGTACCAGGGATAATATCTTGGCAGCATAGAGATGCTAGCTTGGATCTTATCAGTAAAACTTTAGTCTGTTTTCCTAGAATTTAAGAGTTAGAAATATTGATGCTTTCAGTGTGAAATTTGTAAAAGTAATTACTTTCAGAAAGTTTTCAAAGTCCGCCCTTAAGGAGGTCCCTGTAAAATTCACTTAAAAAGCAAAAACACTGGATCACCTAAGGTCGGGAGTTCAAGACCATCCTGACCAACATGTTTAAAAAAACAAAACACTGGAATCCTGAGTCTGAATATTAACTACTCTTCCTCACAAAAAGTATCTCTGCTTTTAGTAAACTTTCAAGTATTTTAAACTGGAGTGATTTTCTTTTGGAAACGATGTTGATGTAGAAGATGTTAAGTGAAGAATAAAGACTGCCTTCTGTAGTACTTGAATATTAACTCCTTTGGAAGGAAGTTATGCTACAAGAAGTCATACTTTAACTTGCATAAAGGTATTTGCATCTGTATTAAATGTGTTTAGTCAGAATATAGACATAAGTGTTGACATGAACTCTGGAGGGTGAAATAAAATCCACAGTTAACTTAAGCAGTTTGTTTTGATGGAAAGTACCTTGGGATAGTACTTGCCTCAGTGTGGGATTTTGTTCCTTTTAGATGGTGCAAGGAAGTGTCAGTCATAAAAATTTTTTTTTGTTTTCTGTTTATCAACCATTTGCTCAGATGGTATGATGCATGGGCTTCGAGACTCCTGCTGCATCACTGTGTATAAAACTCAGTTCAGGTTTGTTGGCGTTCTTGGTTAATCTTGAGGAATAACCCAATGCAGTTATTTTTATATAGACTCCTTGGAAACTGTTGTCAAGTTTTTCAGTGATCCTGATTCGAAAAGAATGCCAGTCCCTTCCATGAGTGAATACTTCATTTTGCTGATTGATAATTGTTTTGGATGGAGTTCCAGAGTCGTGGGGAAGAAGCAGGGGAATATAGTGGGAGTTTAAAAACTGACCCAATAACTTCAATTTCATAATTGGGACAATTGGCTCAGAAGCAAGCTGTAGTGACAGCAGACCTCAAGTGTTACACAGCTCCGTTTTAATCACATAGGCATATTATTGCTCTTAGAATCTCATTCATACTCTGATGGTATTGAATATTAAAACACCTTATAGAAACAAGTGTCTACAACATGATGCTTTAAAGGTAAAATTACTGGTGGAAATTTTTAACACTTTCCCCAAAGTGGATTTAACTTAGATAATGTATCTCTTGCCTTCTGTCTTTAACTGTGTTAAGCAGGCTTAAAGACTTGGTAAAGGAGGGCGGAGACGACCAACAGGTTTGTTAAATGTTAGATGTTAATTGCTTGACACTTGAGAGTCAGAAAATAAAATGCCTCCCAGGAGTAAATTTGTGATTTAGTTCCTTCTAGTTTAGTTATGTATTATAGCACTTTAACTGCTGAGGTCCTTACTTTTCAGATTTCCAGTATATTTGCTTATAAAAATTTGGCCAGAATGACAGAACATACCCACCTAGTTGTGTTCAAATAAGGAGCAATTGTTTTTTCTTGATCTTTAGAGCTGTGATGTCCCTGAAGATGAAACACCTTGAAATAACAGCCTGAATTACGCTTAGAATCCAGGCAGTGTCTGCATTTTCCACTGAAAGTCTTAGGTTGAGCAAGCCCCATTGGTCTGATTTGTTTTCGGCACAGTTGTGGACACAGCAGTGGGAAGCAAAACCAGGCCTGTCACACTCGTGTAATCTTGGAGCCCAATCCCTGGTCTTTGCACAGGGCTCACTGCCCTCCTCCACCCTTTGTTGCTTCATGCCACCTGGAGTCATCCCAACCCTCTGCTCTGCTGGAATCTAGGCCCTGGCGGGTCCCACGAAAGATCACCTTGTAATACCAAAAAAAAAAAAAAAAAAAAAAAAAGTGGTTTTAACAGGACCTTTATTAGGAAAAAGTTGAGTAAAATGTGCTCTACAGCAGAACGAAGAATAGTTGTAGGTAATGGCTGGTGGGAAAATCATGAAGGCAGAGCATCTTCCCTTTAATGAGAGGACGTTGAGGCTTCCCCAGTGGAAGCAACAGCAGGATGCACTCAGTTCAGTGAAAAGGCCACAGGCGGGAGGGCCCTGGATCAGCACCTGGTACCCTTGCAGCACCCAGAGGCACGGTAAAAGGTAGATTACTAATGCAGGTCATGATCCCAAGCTTCACTTAAATGTGTTGTGTGAAACTACTTGGCAGTTTTTGACTTGTAAAATGTCTCCTGCAGTGTGGCTCAGGTGTTGGCAGCAATGTCCTGTTTAGAGTGCCCTTTTTTTTTTTTTAAGCTTTGAAGATTAAAGTTGTGATCAGGCATTTTTTGTAAGCCCTAGATGTATCTGCACGTGTGCCTGGCAAAGTCCTGTTTTGCTGTGCTTCAGTATGAGCTGTACACCAGTGTGTCTTAACTCCCACCTGGTCAGCACTCCCACAAGCCTTTGTAGTGGCACGACCGTGGTGTCCAGTTGCATTACTTCTGTAACTGCAGCCCTTTCTTGAAACTAAGATTTTTTTCCATGATTCCAAGCAGTTTGACCCTGAATAGCTCATATAGTTACAGAGTTACTGGGAACTGCCTTTAGGCGTTTTGTGCAACCCCCAAATTGCAGATGAAAACACAAATGCAGACCGTTTAGTTGCCCTGAGTGTCAGCCCAATGTGGAGCATCTCCCGCTGTGCCCCAGGGGCAGGAATGCAGGCTCCTCAGTCAGCCATGTTCTGCTGGCTAGTTCTCGCTTAGGAGGGCAGGCAGTGACCACACTTGGGTGTGGCTGTATCTCTGAGCAGGGAGATTGGAGGTTTTGAGCTAGGTAGTTTTCCACCCTGAACATTGTGTCTTAGCTGTACTAGAAGCCTGCCTTCCCAACAGACACCTGCTTTTACAGTCAGTAGGTAAGGACCCTTTGTAAAAAGTGGTCATACTGACATTTTCAGAAGCATTCAATCACTGTTTAAGAGTCAACAGGAAGATAGGAAAAGATAGTGCTTCCTTTCACAAACTTAGTAAAAACTGATGACCTTGGGAGACATTTTGTTTTTCTGAAATGTCTCTACAGGCCACCTTTCTCAAATGCAAAGTGTAGCATTTAAATGATTCCTTCAGCAGTGGCAACAGGTGTGTGTGAGGGAACAGTTCCAATCCAATGTTGTTAAAATTTTGAGAGGCCAATTTTAATTTTATGGCTTGAAACAATTTAAAGAGAGAAATAATTGTAGGCTTAATGCCTCCACCATCCCATTGAGAACTTACAGTTACTAGGAATGAAGAAATGAAGAAGGCACATAAAACAGCATTACCCAAGGCTCTGGGACAGGTGGTTGTGGGAACTACACTGTATGGAGGGGCTGTATCTAAGGAGAGGGAATGTAATTCTAGGATGTCTGATGTCATGATTCCCACAATAGAATCTTGATTGGTAAAATATGTAAGGAAGCCTTTCATTGTGATCTTGCTTTCTTAGAGAAACTATCTGCATTAACAAAAGATGCATCTCCTAAATGGAGCAGTTTCTGAGAGGCCCCTGGTCACTGCGAGGCTTCTAGTTAACAGGATTAATTGCTGCTGGGAGATAGTGCTTTGCCCACTTCCTCTTCCTGGGCTGCCCTTGCCATGGCTCTTCCAGCCCCCTAGTGGTGCCTCCGCCCTCAGGGCCCGTGTCCCTACAGCTCGCATTGCCGGGCCTGCCTGGATGGTTGTGATTCCTCAGGTTGTATTACAGGCTAGACAAGGTATGAGTCATTTGTTTTTGTTTACCTTGTGTTTTTATTTTTTCTGGCTAGTGAGTGGGCTTCATCTGTTGGTAGAACTAGTCTAGGCACTGGGCCTAGTGAAAGAGAAGACAAATACCCCAGCTTTTGTGAAGCTCTTCTCTGTTGGGGTTTTCTAACCTTGTCAGAGGTGTGGAATTGCAAGTAACCTCTAGTTGCCGCTTTATCCGGGGAACATTGGCATCTGAATGCCAATTGAATGTGTAGGTATTTTAAGCTGTCTGCATTGTATTCCCATAAAAGTCCATCTTTTTGTGCAAACCGTGTTCATGGTTGGCTTTGTAGGATGGCAGCCTGTGGGAGGAGCGAACACTGACCTGCACCTGACTGCAGCTTCCCCGCGTCTGCATGCTGTGAAGGGCTCCTGGAGTCACCCAGCACGCTGTGGGATCTGCTCTTCCACCAATCCCTCCCCACCCTTTTTTTTTCCCCCTCCAAAAGATGCCCTGCTTACCACTTTAAAGTGTGTGCCTGAGTCATAGTGAAAGTGGAGCCTGGCTTGTGGAAGATTTTTTTTAAAGCTTTAAATAGATAAGACTAAAATGCACCGTTTAATGCCTCTGGTTTTAAAGGACCTGTATTTGAAGAATGCTTTTGGCATCCTACCTGTTCAGACTTCTGAGTACCCCCCTACCTCCACCAAACTACACAAATCACACTGTTCTGTTTCCCTCCCACACACTAATTTAGAAATCAGGTTTCTCATTCTGTACGTTAGCATCTTTGTAGAATAATCCAGAACGAGTATATACAGTATAATCAAAAGTGACTCGTGTGCCTCCAAAATTAGAGCTAATTCAAGCTGCAAAGTTCCGTTCTCCCTATTTTTAAATGTTTCTATGAAAGAGGTATTTAGCAGTGGAAGTTGCTATTTGTGGTGTGTATTATTTGGCCCAGAAATAATTCTAAGTGCTGTAAGAAGTGAGTCTTGCTAGGAATCGGAGGTGAAGGTGCTTGTGTGGAGTGTGTGTGACATGGGCCGTTCAAATCACGGTACACAGAAGGATGATCTTGTAAGTGAAGTTCTTGGGTAGCTTTAGCTTCCCGTTTCTAATGTTTTCTGTATTTTGATGTAATTTTACATAATTTGGTGCTCAGATCAAATGTCACTCTGGGACAGTACTGACGGATTAGTCTTGAATCTCGGCCTTTACCTTATTTTTTGTTAATGGAAATAGTGAACTTTTTGTTTGTTTGTAGAAAGTGATTTGTTTAGAGAGAGAAACAGCTAACTCTCACACTGAGTGAGAGAATCCAGAAAAATGGAATCTAGGGGAGAAAAGCAGCTTCCACGCTGAGTGGAAGGGAATAGAGAGAGATGGAGTTTAGGAGGGGAAGACAGGCTCCCACGAGAGTGTGGAAGGGGACCCCAGAGGGAAAGTCCAGGAGAGAGAAAGATGGCTTCCACGAGAGTGTTCATGGAAGGGGATCCAAACATGGAGTTCCGGAAATAGTGAATTAAAAAAAAAAAAAAAAATCAGAATTGTTTTCATTGTATGTTGTTGATTTAAAATTGTCTTAGTACTTTTTTTTTTTTTTTTCGAAAAACATGCTGAATTTGAAAACGGCGTTTAGAATTGTTTCCAGGCTATATAACCACTTTATGTCCTCTCAGTGGCCAAAAATTAGAATTTTTGCCATCAAGTAAATCTGTAATAGGTATCTGAAATTCCATGACTTTAAACTCTGCATATGTCAGGGAATTTTTTTTATTATGGAAGTTTTTCAGTCATTTGCTAAGCTCATTGTGACCTGTCAATTTTTTTTTTTAATGTGACTGTTTTAGTGTTCATTTGCTAAGCTCATTGTGACCTTTCTTTTTTAATGTGACTGTCTTAGAGTGTTCAGTGCTCACACAAAGGAACGTAAACTGTGTGAGTGAACAGTTATCTTGTTACAGACAAAGGAATCTGAAATAGTCTTTGTTTTCTGTACAGCCCCAAGCTTGGATTCTGCCGTACCACTCATGAATGGCGACACAGAAGACGATGCTGACAAAATGCACGTTGATAGGGAGTTTGCTGTTGTAACAGGTGGGAGTGGACAGTTTCCTGTTAGCTGCAACAACAATCCAATGGTCGAAGACACCAAACAGCAGGAGAGTGGTTCTGTTGGACCAAAAGAAATAGAAATATATACTGTGTCAGCAATGCAGACCCCCTGTCGTTGCAAGAATCAGTATGCATATTATTTCTAACAGAAGTTTCTCTCAGACGTTTTGCACTTTGTTGTTCAGTGTCTTTTTAAAAAATGTTATACTATAATTTACATATTGGTTAAGTTTGTAGATATAAGGATTAGTGTTTTGGGTATATTCTATGGACATGAAAAATGTAAGTGCAATCTTTCTATTCTGATTTGAAGCTGTTGCTTAATGTGCCTTGCTTATTTTTAATGAGGTTTGCATTTTTAATTTTCTGACATAACAGCCTTTGGGTGAATATACCGAACATGCTATGGCTAATATTTTCAAAGCAATATACTGCAAAGAGGACCACTAGCAGTAAACGTTGAGCACGAGGCAGTGTGGCTCAGACTCAGTCCGGCCACTGCGGCATGGAGTCCTTCACCAGGACGTGGTCGCTTTGCTTTCTGTGACCTTCATTCTGAGTCTGTTAACATGGTAAACACTGTGTTTCCCAACACACATTCTCTACATTAATGTTTTTAGTGTATTAAGACAGTATTCCTATTTCCAACTTTTAAAAGGTAGAAGCAGCTCAGTTCTTATAGCATTTAGAATAAATAACTAAAATGATTTGTCCGTTTAGCTGTTGCTTTTTTCTGATGTTCTTTATTTAGGTGACTGAAAAAACATTTTTTGCCATTTTCTTAACATGTTAATATATTTAGAAATAGATTTTTTTTTTTAAGTTTTTTATGTCTTTTTGCAAAATTCTTCACTGGGTATGAAAAAAAAGTACGTATTTTGTTTCCCAAACCCACATGAAAAAATCAGTCAAAAGAAAATGTTCATCTTTCTAGAAGCTACAGAATTGCTGGGGTCACCTTTTTCTCAGTAGGGAAATTCTGATCAGTTAGCATATTTAAAATAATAGATTTTCTGTAGTCAGCGGCTATTTGACCTTAGCTAAAGATCCATAACAAAACTCAAATCCTGTGTTTTTTGAAAATGACCCTGCTCCCTGCTTTGAGTAGGCAGAAGTGGCCAGCCAACCTTTATTCCTCAGACATTAGTTCCTTGTTAAACTTGATCCAAGCTGGAACATACTTTTAAAAAACCCAGCCCATCCTGTATACCAGATGTCAGGTACATACACCCCGTGCTTCCTATCATTTGATTTATGACACTCTGACCAATAAACAATGTGTTAAATCACTAGAGATTACATGAGGTTTTCCTTGTGGGACATGGCACCACGTCCACTGGAAGCTTGAGGGAGCTGCCTCCACAGTCCTTTGAGAATCGGACCGAAAGTCAGGCTGCTCTCCTTTAAACACTTCTGAGTAACTCGAAGTTTTGTTCTGCCAAAATTATTTTCAAGAACTTCACATTTTTGAACAACTGTGTACAGACATCTTTGTATTTTCAATGCCCCTAGTTTGAGACTCGGGAGGATCAAGTGTCCCTACCCCCGGAAAGGACTCAGGCAGGAAGGTGCTTGCTTCTAAATCCTGATCTTCACTATGGAGTTGGCTGGAAGGGAGGTAGGATCTTGCCCGAAACCTCGTCCCCAGCATGGTGTTTGGATGTCAGTGGGTTCAGAGGGCTGGCCAGGCAGCTAGCTGGTGACAAGGGAAGTGGGTTTTGGCCAGCAGCTGGGAGCAGCTTGTTTTATTTCTATTTTCTGTTTAGTCATTGAAACACTTATTTTCTAATCTTAGATTTTAGCCAAATAGAAAAGCTATCATTTAATTTGGAAAAATAAATCTATTTTCCTTTGAAGAACTTATAGCAATTATTAAACTCTGTTGCTTAAATATCCAAGAAATTGACAATGAATGGAATATTTAGATAATGTTTTCATTCACTGAACAAGCCCTGATCTTTCCTTGGCAGGAAGACTTGCAGGGCAGAACAGAAACCTCTGTTGGAGGCATCCAGGAGGTGAGATAGAAGGGGAGGCCTCCATGGGAAGAGTCACACAGTGTGTGACACATTAGGGTCATCAGATGTATTTCAACTGCGTCCTTATTCTAAAAGTTACTAGAACTGAGCCCTTCTACATTTCATATCATGCTTTGCTTTGGTAGTGAAGAACATTGAGATAAAAACTAGTATAGCAAGAGGTAATTTTAGATCATCCCTTATACTGTTATGTGAATTCCTGTGAATGTGAATGTTACTGCTTCTCAAGTTGCAGTATACAGAAGAGTAACTTGTCGTTGCCTGTCCCGGTGTGCCCCGATGTTCCGTAATGGACTTTGTGTCCCGTAAGACATCTCCCTCCTAATGGATGTCTGTATATGCAGATTAAACTATCAACATTTTTTCCAGCAGAGATGGTTTTTGAAAGTAACCTAATAAATGAAACCCTGGCTGCCATGGTCATTTTAATTGCTGGACTGAGAAGAAGCGACTCCGTGTTGTGCTGTTGGCCCAGGCTGCGTGCGTGAGGACTGTTGGCAGTTACAGTTCCTGGCTGTAGTCGCTGCTTTCTCTGTATTCTGCCAGTGCTCTCGTGGCATTTTGCAGAAGTACTAGGTAGATTTCTGTGCTACTGAAGAAAACAAATAGTGGTTCCTTTTAACAGTCCTGATCTGAGACGCAGGGAAGGGTTAGGAGTCCCTACCTGATTTATGAGGAGAGAGTTTTTAAAAACCTTACATGATGCTGTCATATCTAGTTCAAAGAACTTCCTTAATTCACCACTTGGTTTACCTTTTTTTCCCCTTTTTGCTTGAGAAGTAGAGAAGTTTGTGTTCTATTGGAACCCTTCGTAGAACACTTTCCGTTCAGTTGTGATGGACCTTTCTAGGGGCGATTTTTTAAAAACCGCTCTCGAAAGTGTTAAAATGAGAGCCCTTTTTGGATATCTTCTTGGGACCGTGTTGGTATTTTTCATACGGTGTATCTGTCAGCTTCCATTTTTCAGTTGAGCTACCTGATGCTGCTGGCATGCATAGTTTCCTCTTACCAGGCAAACAGTACTGTTAACATTTTAATTTTAAGTCTACCTATGCACATTGATTTTACTTTGAAAAAAGAACTGGTTTAAAAGGAAAAAAGCAAAAGAAACGAAATAAGTTCTTTAAAGTTATAATGGCAATGAAGCATTTTATAGTTTCTCCTGCCTCATTGGTTCTGAATTTTGGTGACAGGTGTATTTCTTAATGCAGATATGAAAAACAGTAGCTTCGTATCGAATGCATTGACAAATGGATGTGTCATCAATGGACATTTGGACTTCCCCTCCACGACCCCGCTCAGTGGGATGGAAAGCAGGAATGGCCAGTGCTTGACAGGAGCTAACGGCATTAGCAATGGATTAGCCCCAGGACAGCCGTTTCTGCGTAGCCAGGGTTCTGTCTACATTAGTGGGAATGAGGAGCTGGAGGAGACCGTGAGAGCTAACCCTGAGTTGTGTGGTTCTCTGCACCTGAACGGGAGTCCGAGTAGCTGCATAGCCAGTAGGCCTTCCTGGGTGGAAGACACTGGGGACAGCCTGTACTACGGACACTACCACGGGTTTGGGGACACTGCTGAGAGCCTCCCAGAGCTGAACAGTGTGGTCGAGCATTGCAACTCTGTGAAGGTGCAGGAGCGGTACGACAGCGCCGTGCTGGGCACCACGCACCTGTACCACGGCTCCTAGAGGTGCTGCCGGGCTCTCGGAAACGCAGGAGTCCTTCCTGGCAGCCTGCTCAGAATCCTGATGTAGCAGCAACTTGAACGAATGTCACAATTTGTACTGTTTTTTTTATACTTTAACTTTCTGAAAAAGTAAACTTCGACAAGTTCCAGCGAGTGCTTGTTCGTGCATGAGTAGGGCTTACTGAGTGCATAGCTGATTCTACAGTGAGGTGTCCTTTTTATAAGATGCACTTTTGGAGTTTTTCTGATGCCAATCTCAACGTTGTCTTTTTAATACTGTCACCAAACATTGCTGTTTTTCCTTTTGTTCAAAGATTAAATTATATGATCAAGATAAATTGGAGCGGTAAATGAGGTGCCTGGTAATTTATCTCTTTGTACATGGGCATCATTTTAAAAAGCTTGCTTCTACTGTTTTCTGTAGAGTTTGGCAGAACACAGCTATTTCCTATGCAAGGTGCAGCCTTACAAATATTTCTGCAGTGATTTGTGTGAAGAGAACGTTTGTCTTTTTGAATTAAAGCTTTGCAGATCACCATGTGGTGGAAGGTTTTAGTTGTAAACACAGTGGACCCTCCTTTAATGATGGAGATCACTGCCTTGGGCTTCATGGAAGACAGACCCCACCTGGGGCTGCGTTCTGATTTATTGTTTTATTCCACATCTCCTGCTTGGTTCTGGAACTTTGACCACACAGAATAGATTCCTTTATATGTAGTGGAAGTTACTATTTGTAGGAATCGTCAGGTCAAAATATTTAACTGACTTTTGACATATGTTTTCTTTTTTCCTTGTTTTTGTTTTCTGGGGTTTTCTGCTTTAAGATATATACCACTATATATATCCAGTTAACTGAGAGGATTTTGACTCTCTTAATAAAACTGCATTAAGTTTTTGATTTTGTAGAAATTAGCTTTTGTCTAGGCAACTAGTGGTTATACTGTGCAAATATTGTAATGAATTTTTACTTTTTTGATTTTTGTAATAAAAATTGGTGCAGATAGAGAAAATGTCAAATGAACAAAACAGTGTTCTGAGAGTGTTAATAACATTTTGTTTTAAAACTGTCCTTCACAAATGGAATAAAAAACTCACACTCAGTTTGTCCCTGGGGTTTCTCTCGGGGCTTGGGGGTCAGCAGGGGGTGGTGGTGGATATCTGTGAAAGGAATGGGAAGGGAGGCGAAGTTTACTGTTGTGTTTTCGTTTTGCTTATAAGGTTTTACTTGACTCTTCTGACACTCTTCATATGGTGTTTTTTCCGCTTTTGAGTTTCTACTCTAGTTTTATGACACTGTCAGTACTGAGTATCTGTGGAGGAAGGATGGATGGCATGCCAGTTCAGTATTGTGCCTGAGTGCTTATTTTCATAAAATGCAGCAACCATAATGTTGTAAACTTCTTTGGTTTTAGCAAATGTTAATTAGGCCTTTTAAGAAAATTACAGTTTCAAGTAGCACCAAAATAGCCATTCTGGCATGCCTACATATGTTGTTTAAAACATTCAATATTCTTACATGTTCTTGTAAAAACTTAATAGACCATGGTGAGGGAGCATTAAGCTTTGGAAGTTTTGCAAAAATTACACTGAGAACAGGAGCAGAAAGCATAGTGCTGTCCAGGCCACCACCCCTCATGCTGCAGCAGGCAGTAGTAATCAGGCTTAGAACTGAGATTTGGCCTCAGACTGATCCCAGAAGCCACCCACACTGCTGAGGTTTTAAGACATGGAACTTGATGGCATCCTGTTTGGGCTGTTTTCTGAGATATTCCAGATACTCTATAGCGAGTTAATATTTGCCAAAGAACGTTAAGTGAATCTCTGAAAACACACTCAACATACTTTTGATTAGTCTTTAATTTTTGGACAGAATGTGACTGCTTAGGAACAAAAATAATGCGTAGAACCTATAGTAGGGCAGTGTCTGTGCTTCGGTGGATGAGGGAGGCAGTCTGACATATTCTAGTTTAGAGTCATTTACACCAGTATATTCAGTTCTTATTTAGAGATACATAAGGAAATTGTGACGATGGAATTAATACCATGCCTGGAATTTGCATCAAAATATAAAAATGTGAGTGGCCCAGGCTCCCTGACAAGTGGAGACAAGGGTCAAACACAGTTGGTGCGAGCTGATGTTGGAGCTGGGTGGTGGGTATGTGAAGGTGCGTTAGTTTGTCTATTTTGTATTTCTTTGAGACAAGTTTTGTTTGTTTTAGGACTTGAAGAAAAAATGCTGTATTAAAAAATACAGTTGTCAGCCGGGCGTGGTGGCTCACGCCTATAATCCCAGCACTTTGGGAGGCTGAGGCAGACAGATCTACAAGGTCAGGAGATCAAGACCATTCTGGTCAACATGGTGAAACCCCATCTCTACTAAAATACAAAAATTAGCCAGGCGTGATGGCACACGCCTGTAGTCCCAGCACTCAGGAGGCTGAGGCAGGAGAATTGCTTGAACTCGGGAGGTGGAGGTTCCAGTGAGCCAAGATCGCACCATTGCATTCCAGCCTGGGGACAGAGCAAGACTCCATCTCAAAAAAAAAAATTATACATATATATATATAAAATATATATATATATACACACACACACACACACATACACACACACGTACACATACATATATGTCATTTTAACATTGAGAATAAGCTTAGGTTTTTCTATGTTCAGAATTGATGTTTATACTGAAAGACTAGCTCACCGAGTCTTGGCCTTTTTGGCCTGAAGACCCTTTCCCTGGATGGATTCTTTTGTACTAGTAGAAACAATTGGAAAATGAAATAAAGCCCATTTACAGTGACACCCAAACCATGGAATACCTAGGAAAATATCTTTTTTATTTTATTTTTTTTAAGATGGGGTTTCACCATGTTGGTCAGGCTGGTCTTGAACTCCCGACCTCAGGTGATCTGCCTGCCTTAGCCTCCAAAGTGCTTGGATTACAGGTGTCAGCCACTGCGTCCGGCCGGAAAATATCTTAATAAAAGATGTTCAACACGTCTACACTGAAAACTATAAAACATTACTCAGTACCTAAATACATTTCTGGTTGAAGTATGTGGAGAAAATCTGGCCTTAGATAGGTAATTGGAAAAGGGGATATTTGAATCATCTTTGCAGTTAATTGTGGGTACCTGACACCACCACCCAACTCTGTAGTGGTTGTGGGGCAGGAGAATAGGAAGTTAGGGTAACAAAGGGCTAAGGCAGAAGCAAAAGAACAGCAGGTGTAGCCAGTTCTGGCCAAGATCAGGCAGCACTCAGGCCGCAGCCTCCTTCCCGTGTGAACAAGACGGTCTCCAGCCTCTGATTGGTCGCAGGCTAATCTTTTACAGGGTGCAGCCAATCGGAGGCCTCTAAAGGGCACCTAGGGGTGTTACCAAGTTCTTTTAGCTCACTAAAAACCCTAAAAGGGGGGACTGTAGCCTGGCTCAAGTTGCCTCCCACTCTGTGGAGTGTGCTTTCGCTACAGTAAATCTGCACTTTTGATGCATCTTTTGCTGTTGCATTCTTTTGTTGCGTTGTCTGTTTTGTTCAATTCTTTGTTCAACTGCACCAAGAACCTGGAAGACGCGCTGTCAAGACCTTCCATCCGGTAACAGTAGTTTCTTAAAGGCCTGCTGCAATGTTGAATCAGGATCCGTATCAGTGAGCTTCTTGTGTTCAGTTACGGTAGAGTTCATCTATCTTTTACTTAGAATGGACCTTTAAACCATGCATGATTTTGCAACTTTATGCATTAGTTACTTGGGAAATACCTTTTAACTGAGTTCTGCAAATCTTTCAAATGTTGAAACTTCTCATTAATATTAAAATATTGATCAACAATCTCATGAAAGTCAAAAGTTGGAAGTTGTCAAGCTTGTGGTACTGGATGCAAGTTTTACAACATTCTGATTGTTGCACCTCAAGTTTTATCGTTGGACAGAAAATACAGTCAGTTTTCCTTGAAGTAGAAGGCTCACTTGGTAATTTTTTAATTTTTTTAAATGGAGACAGGATCTCACTCTCACACAAGCTGGAGTGCAGTGCTCCGATTTTGGCTCCTTGCAGCCTTGACCACTTGGGCTCAAGTGATCCTCTTGATTCAGCCTCACAGGTAGCTGGGATTACAGTCATGCACCACCATGCCCAGCTAATTTTTTTTTTTTTTTCCTTTTTTTGAGATGGGGGTCTTACTATTTTACCGAGGCTGTCTCAAACAGTCCTCCCACCTTGGCCTCCTAAAGTGCTGGGATTACAGGCTTGAGCCACTGCACCCACCTGGTTTTTTTTTAAATCACATCTGCCAGACACGCAAGGCTTAATCACGTAGCTTGTCAGTCATTTCAAATGAAAATGACGTTTCTGAAAAAGCGACTGGATACACTTTTCACACAATCAGCCAGAGACATGCTTTTCCTGTAGACAGCTGTACACAACAAATCCTTTACATCACACAGAACATGTGCTGTCAAAATTGATGCATTTTTCCTGCATTGAGGACATTCTGAAGTGAAATTGCCTTTTTTCCTTTTTTTTTGACAGCACAGCAGTGAAGAATATAAAGGTGAGCAGGTCGGGACAGTTCTTGGCAAGGTGCTAGTAGCTTTACCCAGCATTTGTTTTGAACCCTCAGTGCAGATGTCAACAATGAAGAAGGCAAATCACATTTTGGTAATCAGATCATTTTGATCTTGGAGACCCCCTGAAATGGGGTCCTGGGGACCCCGGGGTTCTGCAGGCCACCATGTGAGTACTGCCAGAATGTTTTGAATGATGAGCTCTAAGCAGCTAGTGATAAATACTGGAAAATGTAGACAGCGTATTCATTGAATTACTTTTTGATTTTCCATAGGTTGGGTTTTTGGGGTTTTTTAAGGACGACAGAACAGGAGAATAATTTGGAGACAGAACATAGAAAACACTGAAGAGTCTCTGGGAAAAGGAAGCCAAGGAACAGGCAGCGGGTAGAAGGGGACCAGCCATCAGGAGGGTGGGAAACTTGGGGAGGGGCGCAGGGCTGAGGTGGGGAGGGGGCTGAGCTGGGAGGTCTTGGGGTGGCTCTGCCTGGGGAACAGCAGCCGGAGTTGGGGTGAGGCCTTGGGTGGGATGCTTGGGGGCAGGAGCACTGGGCAACGCGAGCAGTGACCTCGGACACAGCTGCGGCCAGGAAGCCCCTGAGCGTGCGAGTGTGTGTGAGGATGTGTCAGTGTGTGCGAACGTATGTGAGTGAGCATGGAAATGTGTGTCCATGTATGTGAGTGCAAATGTGTGCAAGGACATGTGTCGGTGTGGGAGTGTATGAGGGTGTGTGTCATTGGGAATGTGTGAGTGTGCAAATGTGTGTATGGGAATGTGGAGGGAAATGTGAGTGTTGTATGTGAGTGGGAATCTGGTGTGAATGTGTGAATGTTTATGTGTGAATGTACGTGATGTGTATGAATGTGCACGTGCGAATGTTGATTTGTGTGACGTGTGCAGATGTGTATAAGCTGCATGTATGTGGGTGTTAATGTGTGTGCTGTGCATGTGTGAATGCTATATGTGACGTTTGTGAATGTGTGTGAAGGTGCGTGTGTCAACATTTTCTATATGTTGCTGATGTGCATGAGTGAGTGGATGTAGTGTGTGAGGTGTGTGCACATGCGAACGTGTGTGGCTATTGTGCATGTTTGGATGTGTGTGTGAATGTTGCATGTGGGTGTTGTCGATGTATGGGCATGTGTGGTGAATGTGACTTGTATATCTGTGGATGTGTGTGTGAATGTGTGTGACTCATACATGTGTAGATGAATGTGTGTGTGTGAATGTTATGGGTGTGATTTGTGGATGTATGCATGTTTGTGAATGTCGTGTGTGATGTGCAGATGTGGAGGATGGATGGAAGAGCAGGCGCTTGGGGATTGGGGACGGAAGAGGATCGGTGGCCGTGGGGGAAGGCGGAGGGAGCACCTGTGTGAGGGGGAAGGGAGGAGGAGTGGCCATGGAGGAGGGAGGCCAGGGTTTGGGGAGCCTGCACGTTATGAAGAGGCCCCCAGGGCAGCTTGGCCTCCTATTGCGGGGTGGGAGGGAAGGGCCAGGGTGGCTCTGGAGGGAAGGCCTGGGCAGTGCAGAA